CATAAGTATGATGAACGTAATGCTTTCTTGCACTCAACCATAAGCCTTAGGGGGAGAAGAGAGAAACCTCGGGTTACGCGAACAAAATTTAACTTTTCAAGCATTCTTCGCAACTCCTTGTCTCAAATTAGGAAAATGAGAAATTGGTCCACCTGGCTTACAACTGCTTCTTGGCCATCCAGCAATACAATCCGTACAACTTACAAAAATTTAAAAGAAATGGCCTACGAATGAAGCCGCCAGCATCCCGTAACTTTAAAGAACTCCTCGAGAAAACTTTGATCGCAGTAGCTCACGCAAACAGTTGCCCCTCCTAAGTGAAGAGCACCTACCATAATATGTAATCATTATTTCACATAACCTCCACAAACGTTAATCAAACGTTTCAGAAAATGGCTCGATATTGCGAGGAATCTTTGCAAAAAAAAAGCTCCAAGGAAACACCCAGACGTTCCCTGCATCAACAATGAACTGATTTCATCAGCAGCGCTCATACAAAAAGATGGTTCTCAAAAACAATAACATAACAAACCTTACGACTGATCCTCGAATAAAGCAATTCTTCACGGCATGCATTTGAGGGAACTTCTCAGGCTCGGCTACAGAAATATCAGTGAGTTTCATATTCAGATACTGATCCACAGAGTGCAGTGTTCCGCAAATACTAGAAAGAAGAAGCTTCAAGAAGACGGAAGTAAGTAACAAGTAGCTTCAAAACAGTAACATGCTCGTACTTTGCGAGCTGTGCTCTACCATCCAGTTAGCGGGTGGGGACCTAGAAGCCCGTAAACAGCACGGGAAGGAAGTTCCAGGATGAGTGTAAGGCCGATGTCATAGTTTGCGAATCGAGCGACTCGCTAGCGAATAGCTCGATTCGCAAACTATGACATCGGCCTAAAGCGGATGCGAAATGGTTCACGCAGCCAGAGATTTCACTCCCCAGCCTACAGCGAAATTGGAATTTTCGTGGGCGGCAACTGTTACATCACATGCCTCTTTACTAGATAAGGGTGGCGATTTACCTCAGATCGTTTTTCAATTCCACAACGACATCCTGACCAACAAGAGACTTGAAGAAAGAGAAGAACAACTAAAACAATTTGTCTAACTTCACGTGTTTAATGAATAAACTTCATAGAAGAATTCTAGAAGTTGAAAAGGAATAAAACGTTACCATTTTAAACGTCTCCTGTGATCACCCGTTGTATCTGGAGCAAGAAATAACTAAAACATGAGGATGAATCAAAACTGTAGCAATGACCATAATAGTGAGAACTGAGTCTATACGCTACTCTTTTGAATTACGAAAAAAGCATTCTATATATCACACAATCGAAATACGTAAATAGAGAGTCTAGCCCCTTTCAACCAATCTTTCAGCTACGAGTGTGAGTCAGACGTGTGGTAGTGTGCAATGACTGTGGTGCAGACATTATTTTCGAATACACATCAACTATTTAGTAGTTGCATCTGTCGCTTGATTTGTACTATTTATCACAGGTTAAGTTAGTTAACGGCGAGATATTGGCCGTTGTGGGCCTACCCCGGCTATTCCTCTGAGTTTGAATCGGAATGACTCTTGAAGTGTCTGCAGCTTTGGATCGTGATGCGGCTATTTACCTCACTGGCGAAGTTATCATCGTCAAGGTAAGGGTACTAAATTTTGGACTTTTTGTGGCAGAGGTGCACTTGTCTTCAGATGAATACCTTCAGGTGACACTGAAAAACTTAGCTCCTAAAGGTCGTGAGTCCCTGGCATGGGGAAGCGTGCAACTCACTAGTGGTGAGTTTCTCAGTTTTTTTTTTCATTTAATACTCTGCACAGTTATCATCTTCTGAGTCAGAACGTACCATGGGAGCGCAGGTTGGATACCGAGATCGGCCAACAACAGCAATAGCTCGAAGCGCTTCCACAGTATATTCGTCGAAACCGAACGTGCTATTTTGTGACGTAGAGTTGAACCATGGCGAAACTCGGTACTTCTCTTGTGAGGTGACTCTTGCTGTTGAATGAGTAATTGCCGGTGCTATAACTTAATGGGGGAGGGGACTACGCGGCGGGGTGGCGTTTTGTTCGCGGCACCTCCAGGGCTTAGTCTACGGGGCCACTGTGTTGAGAATGTCACAGTGCGGCAAAATGGTAGGCTCCTATGACTAAGCCTTACAAGAAAGGTCTTTCAGGAAATGCCCAGCTTTCTCGAACGGTTTTTTGCATGATATAGGGGTACATGCATGGAACACAGAACTGTAGTTCATTTTTCCTGAGCGGCCCTCTGAATACCAAAAAAGGGGTGATGAAGTGGTCCGTGGTTCGAATCCTCGCAGTGACAATTTTTTGCATTTTGTGTTGGCGTTTCAAAATTCGCGAAAAATAGCGTCAGCGTAAACAACTTATGTCATATCTATAATTAGGACCATCAGCAACCTTTATATTATCACCTGTATCACCTGTATCACCTGTCGTCCCGTTGATATCGATCGATATATGCTCGATGCGCAAAATGAGACCTCGAAGCGGGCGAAAGGGGTGTATACACACCCAGCGCGAATGAAAAAGAAAACACGGCTTCCCAATTACGTTCCCCTCAGCTCGCCCGAGCCCTTAATTTGTACTGTGTCTACGGAGCCTCCCCTATTGACCCCCGACGGCGACCCCCAACCCCACACCCCCTCCCACACTACGAAAAAAAACCCACTCCATCTCTTCCCGTTCACGCTCTCCGTGACAGCAAGATTTGACCATCAGGCACGGCGTCGATCCAGGTTTACGTTCTAACCGTCCCACTAGGATCCCAAGCCAGCCCTCGATACCCCCACTGCCTCTGGCCAACCGTCACATCCGCCACGCATGAACCCTGCTCGCGGACCCCCAACCTCCAATCTTCGATCCTTGGGAACCGCAAGCAGTAATACCCTTGCAATTACTACTCGCTCGAAGATCAATGTCCGAGCCCAACGAGCACTCTCACACAAGAATCTTTATCATCACTCCTTCTTGTGTTCATGCACGCCAGCTTGCTCCACGAGAAGAATGATCGAGTTCTCTACATGATTTCCATCCCACGTACTATCACTCACTCCGCACAAACACCAAACCTGCTCGAGAAAGCTGCGCATTCCTGGAATCCCTCCTTGTTAGAGTGCCAGACGAACACCGCCCCCACGCGCGCCGTCGCGTTGTCCACTCCTCGCCAATATGTATCACCCCATCTACCATTATCTGACAGCTACATCTCTTTGAACTTCCTTCCTTTTCCCCGCCCTCGCCATTACTAGAAGCGTTACAGCTTATTTCCCGCGCTCTATTGCGCAGGCAATACGTTTAACCTACCACACTACTCTACCCCCGTCCATCTCCAGCTGCCGTCAATTTGTAAAATATTTGAACCGCATAACCGTAGCTGTACAGCATGTTCGCGCTCCTATCAAACTGATGCACATTCCAGTCAGGTAAAGTTAAATTTTACGAATCTTCAAGTATTTCGGAAATTCTTCTTTCAGCAATTCAAAAGTCTTATTATTAGCTTCTTAAAGCTCCATGTAACTCTAAGTGATATCTGATCGTACGAGTTCTAGAAGGAAACGTTGCTGCAGAATCGAAAATGAATTTTGAAACGCTATTACCATGATACTTATTTTTTGGTTTTGATATATCCTATTATCCGTTGGGAGTCGACTGCACATCCAAAGTCAGAGAAAGTAATCCATAATATATGTCGGAGTCATATCGCATGCACAAACTTAAATATCGAACGTAGAAAGTAGAGGAAATTAGCAAATAAATCTTCTCTATCAACTTTGGAATCGAGTTCTTTCAGACTAAGTAATGCGGCCGTTGATGAAGATCACTGCTCAGAAGCGACCGACACATGTTCGCAATCACACACACCCCATGGATAAGGACGCCCCTATGAACCCTTTAAAAAGACTCTTTCGATTAGAGAAGATATCTAGTTCTCAGCTCTTGAAGATTAACGGACTGCTCTCATCCCAAAACAGAAATGGAAAGATAACAGTATTTCTTTTCTCGTCACCCAACACAGAGCGCTCACGACCGTGCCAGTCGTTCAGTACGTATACATCTCGGAACAACTGTTGAACACTTGCAGCGAGCCGTCGTTGAAGAAAACATGGGAAATAAGACCGAAGGAAAGGTTAGTTTCTAACAACTACTGGAGAACATTCCTGAAACATTAGGCTCGTCAAAAAATCGACCTTCTGATTTGAATTTTTTCAAAAGCATGAATACTGCACTAAATAATTCCATACAACACTTCTTATTTCTGCTTCTTCAGGTTTTTGCTTGTGATCGATACCATGTGGTATTCATATTACAAACTTACATTTCTTTTTCATCGATGTTGCTATCCCTAAGTTTTTTAGAGTAACACAACAGTGCATTCGAATGACTATGTGGTCTGTGCTTTTGCATCGGATAGTTCTTTTCGGTTATCTATTCCAATGCATGCATCGCCAACTTTCCATACGGACACAGGTGGGTTGCTTTTTATAATTTTTTGTATAGCTATTTATATGGATGTATACATTTTGTTTTGTACTCCTTCTGATACTATTCTTCCAGTTCACTTGAAATGGAGATTACGATTTGAGTTTGTCACCTCTGCTCCGCTTATAAATGTAGTGTATGGTGAAGTCTGTAAGGCACCAATAGGTGGGTCATAAATTACTTTTTTAGAACCGCTACACGGATGCCTGGTGATTCATGACTTTGTTCCACAAGAACAGTTCCTCTCACGGAAACTTTGCTTAATTTTTTAATTTCTTTTTTCTTTACTTTTTCATTTTCTGTTTCCAACAAATTCTTTTCAACGTGTCTTACAGATGTCCCCATTGAGACTTTGGCATGGAAAGTGGACATATACGTGCTGCCATGCAGCCCACAAAACGCGGCCCTCACCGATTCATCCCATGTCGGAAGTGCGACAATGATCTCATAGCATTGCATTTAGCTGTACAGATCCTCATATTTTTAGGGTGATGTGAAATAAGTGCTCATTCTATTCTGTGATATATGGTGGTAATTTTCATAATACTGCAGAATGAACTTATTTATTCGATACCGGAAACATGAAAGTGAAACAACCTCAATTGCAACATACGAAAGTGGATGTCACAGTGTGGCAGTGCTTACCTTAGAATCATTAAACGTAGTGTAAGCGAGAGTATTTTCATTCAGCAAAGTTATTCCATAGAGAAGTTGTTCTCCAGCAAGCTTATCTCTACTTACAATATCGAAATTCTGATCAAGTAATGCCCAGCCGCCGTACATACATGAGGAGAGATAGTATCGCAGACCGGCGCGTTCACAGTTCTCAATATGCCAAACTCCTCCATCCGTCTGAAATCACTAAACGATAATTAGATAATCATTGAACAACTACTAGAACACGAAACTTCCTAAAGCAATAACTATCTTAAACATCTATCCCTTTTTAAGGTGACTGGGATTTTCGAGATTGAGGTGCAATTATAAATTACTGGCGCCGTGAACAATCCTTCCTCAGGTTGGTGTCAGAGTCCGCGATCCGTCGCGCGACGGATGGCAGAAATCGAAGTGCACCGATCTATACTACGAATTGCTCTCCAATACGCCGCCATTTGTTGTCGCTGTTCATGATTGCGCTTGTTTCATATTCAGTGTTTCAAAAGTTCAGGTGAGGCAATTGCAATTTCTGCGAATCGCGACGGAATCGCGGACTCTGACATCAGCCTTACGATTGAAAGCTATCGCCTCCAAAAACTAAACAACAATTTATGATGAGAAATACTAGTTTTGTTTCTGCATTTTGCTTATTATTCAAGGGAGACCAGCTCTGATACAGAACCACGCCTTAAGGTCAACGCAGGATGTATCTATCTGAGGAATCTGATGCAGTTTTTTTTTTGAAATTTTTGAAATTCTTTGTTAATATTACTTGTCTCACTACCCAAAATTTTATTTACTAATTTAATTAGCTTTTTGACGTTTATTATTCCTCAAGATAAATTACTAATCAACTTATATTTATTAATTCAACCAAACTGGTTTTTGTAAGGTGCAGCTTATTATGTAAAATGTTTTAACTTGCAACTACTCTTTCCTCTGGGGATTCTATCAGCTCAATTTCTATCATGCTCTCACCTGCACGGTTTTTGACTGCGTCCCGATTATTACGCATATCAAACAGACGGATGTTTTGGTCGTAGCTACCGGATAGAATCAACTGAAATGGGAAATAATATCATGATATAACTATATTACGACTAGAAACATAAAAGCAAATAGCGATGAACCCTCACCCTGTCCTCCTGCCACTCGCTAAATGTGACTCCGGCTTCAAATTGACTGAAACGCTGGACAACGCACTGACTTCGAGCATCCCATACCTTTAAGGTTTCATCCTCTCCACCCGTGCATAGCATATTATCATGTTGGGCGCACGTCCACACCTTCAATTTCAGTACTACAACAACATTACAGATGTACACTATTGCTTTACTGACATACCTCGCATCCAGTATCAGTGTAAGGCAACGAGTGAGCCTTCCATCTAGAAGTAACTATTCCCACAGCCAGATCTACAACGTAAGCGAAGCCCATTTTGTCGGTGCAGGACACATGACTTGTTGAGGAACGCGATGAAACATCAAGCAAAATGTCTTCCGCCACAGATATAGAGGAATTTGACTGTGAATCTGAAAAAAAAATTGTGGTAAGGTAAATTCCAAATTTGGAAGTAATAGAAGCCTTGTAGGTTCCACACTTTTCTGATTTTAGCCCTATATCTCTCTAAAGGGAAATGGACAAAAAGATAGTGTCTGCCTAGTGGTATAGAAATACGCTCCCTATGGCCGCAGTGGCCGGTAAAGGATAAAAAAGGAATAGCACACTTTCTTTTCTCACAAATAGTAAAAAAATCTAAGATTGCTGAAGCAGTACCAACCTGTAATAGACGCAGTAAATAGGGAGCCATCAGTGATAGCTGCTATAACAACGTGTGGTTCCACGAAATCGAATCGGAACACCCCAGCTGGGGCTGTAATACAGCGACAAATATCGAGGCTATGCGAGAGAATGTAGAGAGAGCCAACCCGTGAATCAGAACCTTCTAACTGATAGGTGGACACAAGGAGCTTTGATGGAGTACAACGAGCGAACGCAGGCCGTTGAGGCAAGTTTATAGAACAAGACATAACCACAAGTACAACGACAAATTTACAACGAAAAGACTAAAAAAAGGTGAAGGTAACGAGTTGTTTCTACGGACTTTATTGATTTTTGATGGCTGCATCAGCTGCAGCTTTCTGACGATCTTTTTCAGCCTCAATCAGGCACTCCCTAAAAGTTGCACCATGAAAAGTACTAGAAGAAATCTAAACAATAAAGTAAAGACGCACCTCACGAGTATTCGAGAATGAGCGATTGATCTCTTAAGGCGCTCCGCACAGATTTTATTGCCAGTGTAGGTGGGTCGAATATCCTTGCCCAGCTCTTCAATAACCGCGAGCAGTTGTTGGTACTTGGTGCCTCCAACAATCTAAGAAGTCGAAACTGAACGCAAGGTTGGTATTCTTGAATGGCCAGCGTGTGTGAATTTCAATTTCCCCGAAGTTCCCACTCATCCTCCTAAGCTTAGCCCTGGGTAAACCTTTGCATCTTGCGATAGCGCCTATTTTTCGAAACGTTTATAGGAAAAAAAGAAATACGCGCAATAAGGGTTAGATGCTGCCCGTAATACATCACAGCTTCACATGTTTCATGTTGCAATTTGTCTCAGGCGCGGCCACACATCACACAATTCATCTTACGTAAAAGTTTCCTACGAAAATCGCACTAAATGGAGCGCGAATTCAAATCGCGCATCGGAATAACCATCTTATATGATTAGTTCTTGTTGCCATTTCACTACTGATAACGAAAACGCTGAAGGAGTAAAGCCTACTGATGAGAAAATACGAAAAAAAAAGTTGAAGCGGTACGCGCACAACGGCGGTCGTCAACGTGTTAAGGAAGGGAGAGGGAATTTTGTTGTAGAGCATCTAAACTATGTAGGAAGGGTCGTTAACCCTTCCTTAGAAATTAGGTAATATCCATTGCTTCACAACTACTGCTTCATCGTTCTACTCAGCAGCGAGGCCGTGCAGATTCAAAAAATCGAAGAAAGAGTGTGGAAATGATCTTCTTCACAGTTTATAACGCAGGGACCTCCTTGTGCAGGAATGGGATATCAAAAATCTACACGAACTATTGAAAAAAATGCTATCATCGCCTCCTCTCCCCACTTAGGTAAACAGCGCTAAGTATGCACTTTTCTCGAATCAGTTGTTTCTAACGATAATCAGAGGCTGATTAGACTAGTGGATGGACCCAATTTGGCCAGAAGCGAAGGTCAGCGATGGTGGTACAGATGGATAATTTTTTGGGAGCTGGTTTTTCCTCTGTATTTAATTTGATCCAGTGACTAACTGCACATATTGACTGAATTGCAACTTTTTAAGTAAGAGCAATGCAGTACCTGTGGCCCTGGAACGGAGTACTGTGGAAGTGATGCGGTGGTGAGATCGTCAGCCATAGATGAGTGATGATTGCAGGAGTGCCAACGACAGCGCCGACGACTTCCCGGTGGGTCGATCGATTCTCGCCAGCTGCTGGTGCAGGTCAGTTCCCCGCCCCTCTCCGCTCGGACCAATCCGTTCCACTCTGCCGGTAACTTCTCACTAACCGTCTACGGTGGTGTCACCACTTGTCTGTTTGCTATCACTCAACTGATTCACTTACTTACAACCATGCCACAGGTCAGTCTGTTCTGTTCAGTTTAATTGTGTTTTTTTTTGCAGTGCGTTAATTCTCATTAATTATCGTTGTGTCTGTATCTTTTTAAAGCAATCTGATTAGATCTTGAGCTGTTTAAAGTGCATTACCGGAAAACTTACTAAAATTGCCTATCTTGAGTATACGCCATTGGCCCCGCAAACGATTGAAACATCAGTAGAGTGGAAGATGATTCATGTATCACCAGGGAGGGGGGAAGGGGGCAGGTCGATGGGCCGACGCGAGGTTTCCAGCGCAGACATTTCGGTTCACGCATCCGTTAGGGTCCGGTTTTTCAGTACATTTCTCCTATAGGAGGTTTCATAGTGATCTACGAGCCTCATCCAGTAAGGGGGGAGGGACATGTGGTACGGCAGTTCACATCACATGAAGTAATCCACTTTATTGCAGAGGAGGAAAGCTCCGGGGTGTTTGTAAATACTTAAGCGAGATGGAACACGCCCCACGGGGATTCTCTCTCCTTAGGAAAATTGAAATTTCTTTGGTCGTACCTTAGTGTGTCACCTCACAAGTGTCGCACCTTATGTCCCTCTTACTGGATGTGACCCAACTTACTGTTATACAACACCACAAAACTAGCTGTATGCCAGTTTGCATCCTTATAAGATCTGATGGAAAATGCGTGCACTGCATATTGTTCCCTCGTTGCTTTAGGAGAGTGTGCGTATCGCTATTCCCCTCGCTTGTTACTATCAAAGATCCTGGCACAGTTTGGCAAGAATAGCGTTCCTTTTTCTTATCTAGTGCTTGTTATGACGGTTGCTGTGCAATCACAAAATGCTATCAGTAGGTTTCTGCGCGTTGTTTGAAGCTCAGGAGTACCTGACAAAGGAGACCTCCCCGCGGCGCGGAGCGTTCTCTAAATGAGTCGCGCACATACTAAAAATATTCAACTCTGTTCTAGGGAAGAGCAGAAAGAAATTATCGTGTGAGAGAAGTTCTAATAGTAATGTACCAAGCGTACGTGAATGAAGCGGGAGTCCGCCCACAGTGGGTAGGGCGTGTCTTCAAATAGGCGGAGTTTCCCATGAACGCTCATAGCTCGGCTACGAAGATCTTCAAATACTGGGGAAAATTTGGTAACATGGCCAACGAAGGAAGGTCACCTGCCATTGGCAGGTGAGGCGTGAACCGAGGCGGAACCAATTTACAAAATTCGCAAAATGGTTCAGAAGCTGCCTGGAGGCCGGCAAAGGGCCAGGGGGACTAGCGTAATAAGAAGATTCAAGTCTTAGTGGTCGAGACTAGAACTGGATTTGACCCGTTTCCACTATCGTAAAACTAGTTGGTGCCGCACGCAATGCGCGCACAGCACAAATCTGTGGCGAATTTTGATGGCGGCGAAAATTTCCAAATTGGCGGCTTGATACACCACGAGTCTCTGAATTCTCAGCTAAATTCTATCCGCTCTATCTTCGACGGCTTTCAACCTCTCTTTACGTCGTCAACCAATATATCCTTTTTCCTGGTTCTCCGGACCGTGCTTCCGAACAATAAATCTCGTGGCAAACTCCCGCACACCACCTGGCAGCCCTTGCCGCACCAAGCCAATTGCCACCAGGTCCTTGATCGCCGACCTCTACCGCTTTCCCGCCGGTCTCGGGCTTTCTTGGAACCGAATTACGACACTTTGGCAAACTCCGCCCACTTCAAGTGCGTGCCCCGCCCACTGATAGCAGTTGACCTCCTTTCCTTCGCCGACCTCTACTCCCTTTTTCCCGGCCTCCGGGACTTCTTGGAGCCGAGTTATGAATTTTCGTCGCAAACTCCGCCCACTTTGGTCAAGCCCCGCCCACCAATGACAGCTGGCCTCCACTCCTCCACCCACCTCTATCCACCTTTTTCCGGCTCTTTAGGACTTCCCCGACCCGAATTATGAGGGCTTGTAGAAAATGCTGTACACTTCAGAGCGCGCCCGCCCATTCTGGGCAGGCCTCCGCCCACGTCATGTATGCGGGAACACCTTAGACATTGCTCCCTTACACCCAATTTGTTTTCTGCTCTGTAGGCTTTCTCCCAACCGAGTTATGAAATTTTTCATAAAGCACTGCTTTTTTGGAGAACGCCCCGCCCACCGGGGGTGGGTCTCCCTAATTCGATGTGACTTACCAATGCACACCTTTACCCACTTTTTGGCCCAGTTTCGAGGTCGTTTTGTAAGAGAATTGAAATCTTGGTCGTCAGTACACTTCATTTCGACGCACGCCACGCCCACTGTGGGCGGGGCTCCGCTTAGCTGATGTGTGTTTTGTACTTCGTGAGACCTTGCCCACCCATCCCACACTTGACCCGGTCGGCTGACTTGACCAGGATGGCTGTGTGGCGCGAGCGTTAATGTGCGGAGGCATCTTTACAAATGAGATAAACCTAATAGGAGTGAGAGGTTTTTCGTTTTTGGTTGTCAGCTGCTGTTTGACACTACAGCGTGCGGTGCGAGACTCATCGTGAGTATGCTGGGTTATTGGGTTTCAGAAAATAAAACTCTAGCGACGCTAGCAAAAGCTTTTCTGGTAGTGAAACGAGAAGTACCAATTCGAGCTTGGAGCTGCTAGAACTAGATGTCAGTCTAGGAAAGTTTCGGTCTTGATGAACAAAAAAATCGGTCAGGAAGACACCTACGCTTTGGGCTTTGTGCAACATTCAGTATCTTTTCACTACTGCTTGAAATTGAGCTGTCGGAAAGGTCATTCTTTAGTACACATTCGAGATGGCGATGACATGCGATGGTTGCGCAAACGCAGCACGACGTGTTCTTGGCAAACTCGGAGGTAAGCCTATTTTAGCCGTGAAGTTTATTCTCCAGTGTAGGTATTTGTTTCATTTCTTAGACAAGGTAACCGTCGACAAGATCGATGTAGGCACAAAGCAAGTGGTGGTCACCACCGACTTACCAGCCAGTGACATATTAGAAGCACTCAAGAAGACTGGCAAGGAAATAAAACAATTATAATGAAAATTGCTCTATTTTGTTATATTATACTTGCCGTTGTGTCTTGTGGGTCTCATGGTTGTGATAATTTATTGTGACAATAGTACTAATTTGTTCTGTATATGTGTGGATGTGGAGTGCACAATGCTTTGTTGAGTTTCATGAGAACAAAACCTAGAGGATTGGATAGAAGCAACCTAACATATCATCTATAATATTTTCTTGGCCACTGTGCTTAATAAAGCTTTTCGACGATCAGAACTTCAACAAGAGAGGTTGCACATACGTGCGACAGGAAAACGAGTTCCGAAACAAGGGCATTTATGGGAGTACAGAAAAAAAAGCGAAAAATG